ACTCCCACTCATGTGCCATGTTTGCCAGCAGCAACAATCCACCATTCCACAGTTGAAACAGCACTTGAAAAAGCACTTGCCTTGAAATGTTCTGCACTTCAGTGGTTCTACAAGTCTGTCCAATAGCATTGACTCCAAAGATTTCCATTCATTGCTCAGCTGCACAGGTTAACAAGAACCAATGATGTTGGAATTGACCAATAAAGAACGAAGAAGCATTCTAATGGAGCAACCCAGTTTTGTACTTGCTTGCTAAATAACGAAGATGTGTCATCTGCTGGCACTGTTTTGTTGTTTCAGTGAGATGCTGATGGTGTTCAGTGGAAGACTGATTACATTTTCTGAACCTTTAGCTACAAAGTGCGATGGATGGGTCACCAAAATAGAAATTGTTCTTGTGTTGTAGTCAGAGGTTAGATTGACACACTATAAGTGACTGTAACAGCACAGATAAATAGAAGTTTTCTAAACTAGCACTGTCTCTGATCTGAAGAATGGGAAAATAATAACTCCTTGTACTGTCAGGGGGAAGTTCCCCTGAGAGGAGTGAGTTCCCTCCCTATGGTTCTAGTGAAGACTTCCACATTCCAATTATTATACCAACCGAATGTGTTGAGTACAGTTGTCAAATTAATAAATTTAATTTGGATAAAGTCTAACAGACCAGTAGGACTCTTCTTATAAAGAAAGAAAACTGCATCTGAAATTGAAACAGACAAGTTATAATAATCTTACTGAATGTAGAAATATACAATTTGATTGAAGTAATTCCAGTTTATTAATTTGGGTACAAAAGATACATTCAAATCTGTAATTTTCTGAATATTTGAGGATTTGATTTATTAAAAAGAACATCATTTATAATTAGTGTGTGGTGATTTAATACAACAATTTCTGTCTACCCAAGTCCCTAATACAACCCTTCAAAGACTATTCATCCTCTCTCCGACATCTACATCTTTGTCTTTCTTAGCACTCTGAAGAGCTTAGAGCACTTGTGCTGACTCATAGTGAGCAGTAACCTCCAACTGCCCCATCCATACCCACTATCTGGCCTGTCTAGTGGTGTTGACCAGGGCTGATCTTGCTAATCTTCTCCTCATTCAACTTTTGCCCTGTACTGATAATCATGTGGAGTCTGCCACTGGATACTTACAATGCCCCATCTCCTGCCAGAATATCAATTCATTTGTGAATAAGGCTGTTTGCTGCCTATTAGCCAATTTAGAATAATGACCTCAACATTGTGACCTTGACAGAAACTTTCCTGAAGAGTGGTGATACCTACATTGGCTCATGATTAAGCAATTTAAGCCTCAATTTTAAAATTCTTATCTTTGTTTCCAAATCGTTCTATACTCACCACTACCCATGTGCCCACTTTATTAGTTGCAGCCCCACACCTCTCCAGGAACTTTACCCTCATCTAATTCTGGCCTTTTGCATAACCTTGATTTTATTTGCAACACTATGCTTTCAAATCCCTGAGCATGAAGCTCTGGAATTCTCTTCCTGAATGTATGGCTCTCACTTTGTTCCTCTGTTATGCTCCTTGAAATCTATAAGCCTCAGTCATCTACTCAATTGTGTAATGTTAAATTTATCAAACTTTGCTTCATAGAAGTTCCTGTAAAATGCCTTGGATATTTTATTATTAAAACACAATATAATTACATGGTGTTGCTATTCATATTTGCTAATTCTGATATTTGATTGCAAAGCTTCCCTGGTATTCTAGTGGTAAGAGGAACTGCTGGTTGTAGTACTGCATTGTAAAAAGCCAATTGAATTCCTAGTTTGTGTTTCCTAATGTAACTTATGCCAGCTGGAGCAGCAGTTCAAGCACTAAGTAGTTCTGGGTTAGGTTCCTTCTTTGGCATCTAGCAAAGTCAGGCTCGTGCAGTGTCATTCACAGCAAAACCGCCTTTCTAGCCTTGAAGTTTAATTAATTTATCATTATAAACATAGATCTCTTCCCATCAAGTATTTTGCTGGAGTTTCATTTCATAATTGCCATTTTTTCTTGTCATAATTAATAATTCATTATCATTCCCATGAAACACAAGATTTTGAGGCGACTTAGTGTGATGTTGCAAAGATGTATCCATTACTGGAGGAAGCCATTTAAAATGAGAGGCAAAGAAATTTCTGTGAGGGCAGTCAATATCTGGAATTCTCTACCCCAGAGAATTCTGGAGGCTGGAATCACAAAGTATTTACTGGAGGAGATAGATACACTTTTGAAGTATAGGAATTGAGGGGAAAAGAGGAACCAGTATAAAAGTGGAGTTGAGACCTGGACAGATTAGAATGGCGTACTCCTGCTCCTGACTCTTAAGTTCTTATGTACTCTGCACCCAAGTGACCCAGTTACTTCTCCATTTTCCATTTCTGCTTACAAAGAAGATTGTAAGAGTGGCTACCAAATATTTGATAGCATTTTCAAGGAAGGTGGAAGGGTTTAGAGAGGAATTCCCAGAGCTTTATGTCTACAAGGTTGTCAATAGCTGGGTGAAGGAAAGTGTAATGTAGGCAGCTGGAGTCAGAGCAGTGGTGTTTTGGTAAGGGTGGTGCAAATAGGATTGCATGGAAAGGGGATTGAGAAAGAACGTGAAGGTGTTTAAAAACAAGAATATTAAATATTGAGGGGATTGTTTGAGGATAGTGTAATGGGTGATTGGGATTTGGCAACAGTTTTAGGCAAGTTAATGTTTCTGGAAGCTGGACAGCTTTGGAAGTCAGATTTAGAGGTCAAAGCAGACATGAAGTTTTTGGTTGAAATGGCTTTGACTGGACAAAATGCAACAAATAAAGGTAGTTCCACCAAGCTAAATAACAGAGAAATAGTTGACAGGAAAAGTATGATCAAATTTGTCAGAAGGTTCACAGATGAGAGATAATGCAATGTAACCTCTTAGATTGTAATCAATAACTTCAGTAACATACATTTTAGAGCTGTAGGATGTCTGGAAGACAGATTGTAGCGATACAAATTGTTTGCAGAAGAGGTCACAAATCCAGTGGCTGTATTTAGTGATTATGAAAGGAAAATGATTTTGAAGGTAGTTCAATAATTTAAAGGATAGGAGGGCCAAGGGTGTTCTTTGATTTTTTTTTTAACCCAAGAGATGTTGCTATAATTGACAAGGAAGTTGTGCTTGATAAAGGTGGTGGTGAGCCACCTTCTCAAAGGAACACTGGAGCAGGAGTTGGCCACTGAGCCTCTGAAACCTGCTCCACTACGCTGAATCATGGCTGATCATCTACTTGGAAGCCATATTTCCCATTTCTTTAGATTTATGGCTACTAATGAAATCAATCAATCTCTGGCTTGAACTTGACTGTATTGGAGATGTGTGGGAAAAATAATTATAGATCCATAAATCTGTGTCAGTTTGTGTAAAAGTGAAGCTCGTGCAACTTTTTCACACAGAGGGTGGTGCATATATGGAATAAACTGCCAGGGGAGTGGTAGATGCAGGTACAGTTACAACATTTAAAAGACATTTGGATAAGTACATGAATAGGAAAGGTTTGGAGGGATATGGGCCAAACACGGGAAAATGAGACAAGTTTAGGTTTGGGAAATCTGGTCGGCGTGGATGAGTTGGACTAAAGGGTCTGATTCCGTGCTGTACAACCCTATGACTCTATAACCCTAATTAGAAGATTAGCTGAGAAAGGGAGAGGGAAAAGCTAGACAGTGGTAAGGGGTCAGATAGGGCTGATGGAAGGTTTGAGTGGATAAGCATGTGGAGGGTGTTTTGGGAAGGTATATGTGGCAGATGGAGAAACCAGACAATTTCTATCTTGGTGGAGACATACGAACCTCAACAAAATTAACCTAATCTTCTGAACCTGGTTTGGTGCTCCCTATTGGTGTACCTGCTTTGCTTCCTGTTTTTGGTATTATCCGCAAACTTCAAGCTATCGCATGTAATACACCTCCAAAATAATTAATGTATTCAAAATATCGAGTACACCAAGACTTGTTACTCTCATTTGTAACTACGTTGAATTATACCACCCCTTGTCCTTTGTTTATAAAACATATCACACTTTATGTATTAACTAATACCTGTATCCAAGGACACTAAAATCTGGGAGTTCTTTCATAGAACATAACAGGCCCTTCGGCCCACGATGTTGTGCCGAACTTTTACCGTAAACCTAAGGTCTATCTAACCTCCACTCCTGCTTTATACTATCATCCATATGCCTATCTAATAGCCGCTTAAATGTCCCTAATGAGGCCGAGTATAAACTATATCTGCAATCATCATTAAAGCAGATGATTTGGTGGTTATCAAAATTGTTACTTGTGGGAACTTGCCGTGTGCAAATTTGCCGTTTACTTCCTAACTTAAAGCAGTGATTACACTTCAGATAAGTACTTCATTGGTTGTGAAGCCCTGGGAGCCTGAAAGGCGTTTCAGAAAAATGTGTTTTACCTTAACTGGTCGTTCTCGCAGTGATCCCCGGCTAGAGAAAACTTCTGAAAATCTCCGATACGGTAAAACTACAGTTCGTTTGGTCACTGTGTCCAACAAGTTCAGCATCATTTTCCTTGTTCCGGGTTTCAGCATCCATGAGACTGGATGTCACCCAGATGCTGTGACACCCGCCAAATGGCTTTTGAGTCCTCAAAGCAGTTTCAAGTATGTTCCTGCTCAATTAAAAGATCATGATTCACCCGCATGTCTGTAGCTAATCCGGTTTGAGCGAGGCCACCTTGTGGCATTTCAGCATACTGCTCTCTCGTTAAATTTTCGAGATTTACGGCAGCAAAACTAGTTCAGCAAATAAATGTTTCCACTCCTGTGGGGTTGGGTTTCCGATTAAACTTCTAGTCCACGATGGGGGGTCAGCCACTTAATTCATCAGCAAAATCAACTTAGACAGAAGGAGCCTCTTTCAGATCAACGTGTGATATGACTTGATAATGGTCCCGCTGTCTGACGCCCATAGTAACAGCAACAACAAGGCTATAAAAGGTAATAATGGGAGAGAAACAGCATTGTTATCCCATCTTAACAACGAAAGGTGGCCACTGTAAAGGGCTGGTTTGTCAATGCAAAGAAATAATCAAATCAGGAACAGGGATGAAGTCATCAAATTTGCAGATCCGAAAATGTTCCTTACCAATGGGGGTTCTCTGCAGGAAATTCTCCTCGAATACCACTCAGTCGGTGAGATCAGAGCCCAGGATGCCATCCTTCTCCTCAATAGACAGCCAGAGCATCAATCCTAGCAGGGTGGTCAAGGAGGTCAGGGCACTGATGGTTGACATGGGCACAGGCTATTTCAAAGCAGGCTTTGGTGGCCATGCCAAGCCTTCAGTCATCGTCTCTTCCACAGTGGGTAGACCCATGCAGCGGAGTGCCAAGACTGGGGACAACCGGCAGGAGAACTTTGTGGGCAGTGAGCTGAGAGCCCCTATGGAGCTACGGCTCATCAACCCTCTCCGGCATGGCATTGTGGTGGACTGGAATGGTGCTGAGGCCATCCTGGCCTACATCTTTGAGAAGGAGATGAAGGTGCAGCCTGAGGACCATGCTGTGATGGTGGCTGACCCACCCCTGAGCCCCATCACCAACCGTGAGAGGATGGCTGAACTCCTGTTTGAGACCTTCAACATCCCAGCCATGCACATCACTAAGCAGTCGCTACTTTCTATCTATGCCTACGGCTGCACCAGTGGGCTGGTGGTGGAGAGTGGCCATGGTTCCTCCTGTGTTGTCCCCATCCATGAAGGCTATATCATGCCTCACATCACTGCCAGTGTTGATTATGGAGGCTGTGACCTTACCAAGTACTTGCTAAAACTCATTAACCAGAATGGGCACAAGTTAAGTGCTAGCGACTATCATCTCGTGGAGCAAATCAAACAAGAGTACTGTTACACTGCTATTGACTTTGATGGTGAGATGCGGGGTGAGACCAAAGAGTACACAGCACATTATGAGTTGCCAGATGGTAAGATTATCACAGTTGGCAAGGAAAGGATCAAATGCCCTGAAGCCCTCTTCAATCCATCACTCATGGGTTCCAGAGAGGCTGGGCTGCATACAGTGGCTCTGAACATCATCAATAAATGTGACTCGAGCCTGCTAGAGGAAATGTACAAAAATATTCTGCTCTGTGGGGGCTCAACCATGTTCTCTGGATTCCGTGTTCGTTTCCAGAAAGAATTGAGAAAACTGGTGCAAGACATGAACCCGCAAGTGCAAGCAATTCCTGAGAGAAGATATTCAGTCTGGTTTGGAGGGTCAATCCTATCCTGCCTCAAATCCTTCCAGCAACTGTGGGTTAGCAAAAAGGATTATGATGAGCGTGGACCATTGGCTATCTATAGAAAATGTTTCTGAAATTGAGGTTTTAAACACGATTTTTTTTAAAAAGCACACTGCTGATTTCCATCTTTGAATGTAACTTAAATTAATTGAAGAAAAGATTGGTTTAAACATGGAAACATAATAAAAGTCTTATAATCTGTGTGATTATTGAAACAGATGATCATGGAGACTGAGATGTGATTAAAAGTAAGGTAGATACCTGGTGTCACATGGAATCCCAATGAGTTCCATTGACTATGTGAACCAGGACTGCAGGCTGTGCATGTGAATTGTAACAAGGCCAGGAATGTGTTTGGCTGCTGTGTATGATGCTCAGACCAATACAGAGCCAATTGTACTACTCATAGTGTGGACAGCTCAATACATCACTTAAATGTTTCCTCTTCGGGTCATGTTCATTGACGTTGATTTGTATTCTGTTACTATTTAGACTGTTTTACTGGGTATAACTGCTCATCTTTTATTGTGGCACTTTATTCCAATATACTTTGAAAACGGACTTCTTGTCCCACTGGTAATTGGGGCAAACTCTCCACATGGAGAGCATGACAAACAAACTCTGGTGTGTTTGCTTGCAGATTCTGGAAGGGGGTTCTCGTTCAAAGGCACACAGTGCCTGATCAAGGGATCCAGCATTGGGAAGGAAGGGTGGTGGCTAAGAGTCAACTTCCTGTCCCTGGTGTTGACCTTCATCAACACTCTCCCTGCAACCTTGTCAATGCTCACCTGTGCCTGGGTTCCTCCTTGATTCAATGTAGTACCAGCAGCAGCCATTGGCTCCACTGTGGCACTGCTGAGTACAATAAGACAGCCTATGCAACTCCTGGATTTCACGAATTGGAGGAAGGCCGTCACTGGCGTGTTACTACCTAAGTGACATAACATACAGTGGGCTTTCTTGAAAAGAGGTGACACAGAGCTGTCACCAGCTCTCCAATTGGTGACTGAGGCTCCCATTACCTCCAAAACATTCAGCCCACTGTTATTCGTCACATGGCTGTAGCGCAACAACACAGTGCAATATATTCATATAACAACTAGTTCCAGATCTTTAAGAATAATATAACAGTATAGCATCCCAATTTCTTAAAAGATGTGCCTCTATATCAATTTTATTGTTTCAATCATGAACATTTTTTTCCTTCGACAGAAACTTAACAATCAACTTTTATAAATAAACTGAACACCTTAAGAATCATTTATAGCATGGTTTCTTTTCTAAAAATATATTTGATGGAATCACTTAGGTGGTAGGATATTGTGTTCTGTACCTTGTTGGTACTCATCTCTCTCAGCACTGAGTTGGCGTGCTGCATAGGTGATGTTGTGCATATCGCTCCTGGTGCTGCAGAAGTCATGTTTAATGTTGCTAAATTTATGTCACTTGCTGACATTGTTGATGTTGCATCTCTTGTTAGTGATACTATTGATGTTGTTTTGCTGGCTAGTGATGTTGCTGATTACCTTTTCCTTCTCTGTTGTAGGTCAAATATGAATTTTATTCCTTCTCATTTAGTCACCGATTTTGGTGTCAATGATACTATGATCTTGGAGGCTCAGCTTCACCTTTCAGGTTTTCATGACTTGACTGCAAATATATAGATTGCCTTTTCAACAGCTCAGGCAGGAATTTAGGATGCTTGTTGAAGTGCTGACCTCCTTCTACCTGTGCATCAATGAGTTGTTGTCTTACTTTCCTGGTCGCTGGGAGGGAATATCTTGTTTGGCAGAGTTGTCTTATACTTTGTTCCATTCAACAGCTCTGCAAAAGAAAATTTGATCATCCTTGAGAAATATTTATTGGGGAGACAAAGCAAGATTTAGGTTTTCCTTTCTCTTGACATTTCAAGAGGGTTATCTTGTGCATTTAGAACTCTGTTTATAAACCCTTCTTTCCAAGGGTATTGTGATGATGCTGATACTGAACACACATTTTTCAGCAAATCCCTCAAATTGTCTGGAGATGACAGGAATTTCTTGCTTAGTTTAGAAATTCCTTGCTGAGAAATTTTCCTGCTGAGATGACTGTCATAGCTCTCAAGCTGTTCTTTTTTGGATAAAAGGGAACTTTGAGTAATAGTCTACAACTGTGATATAATGTTATTTATTATATTTGAATAAATCAGCTCCCACAGTATGCCTAGGTGATATTTCAGCAATGATAACTTCCTCTTTCTGCTGTGTTTTTCTACAGCCTTGGTGAATATTGCATGTAAACACCATTCTTTTGATACCTTTAAATGCCTATCCAATACATAGCTTACATTTTTTCAGAGGTAACAGCTGATAGTGCTTTTCAGGTATCCGTTCCTTTTGCAGACTCCGTATAGGTGCTCCTGCTCTGCTTTGCGTAACACTGGGTTGTTGCAATGTGTTGTGGCTCGTTTAAAAAGTGTCCTAATGCAGCTCCATTTGTGGGTGTTGGGGTGGTTGCTAGTGTAATTGAGTATCTGGTCTGTATGTGGGTCTTTCTATATAAACTAGTCTGGAGTTCCCAGTTGTTGTTGCGTTCTACCATTACGTCCAGGAAGGATAGTCGATTATTGTTCTCTTCTTCTTTTGTGAATTTTATCCCAGTGAGGATGTTGTTTATGCGTCAGTGGGTTTCTTCTGGGTTTGTGCATTTGATAATCATGAAGGTGTCATCTATATATCTGACCCAAAGTTTGGGTTGTATAGTGGGGAGTGCTGTCTGTTCTAATCTTTGCATTACTGCTGCTTCAATCAGTCCTGATATTGGGGATCCCATTGTTGTTCCATTAATTTGTTCGTATATGCCATCGTTGAAGGTGAAGTGGGTTGTGAGGCACAAATCTAGTAGTTTCATGACGGTGTCCTTATTGATGTGGTTGGTGTCATGGGGTGCCTGCCTTCTTGATTCATCCGGTAGTGTGGCAATTGTCTCTTTGGCTAGGTCAATGTTTATGGATGTAAATAGTGCTGTTACGTTGAAGAATATCATCATCTCATCCTCTTCTATCCTGGTGTCCTTGATGATGTTGAGGAATTCTTGGGATGAGTGGGTAGTGTTGCCAACTAAGTAGTTCAATTTCTGTTGTAGTTCTTTGGCAAGTCTATATGTTGGTGTACCTGTCAGTGAGACAATGGGTCTGAGGGAGACCCCCGGTTTGTGTACCTTTGGGGAGTCCGCTTCTACAGACTCCAAGGTACTCAAACCAGGGGTCCCCCTCAGACCCACTGTCTCACTACCAGACAACACTACCCACTCCATCCACTCATCCCAAGAATTCCTCAACATCATCAAGGACACTAGGATAGAAGTGGACGAGATGATGGGATCCTTCGACGTAACCACTATTTACATCCATGAACATCGAAGAAACCGCGATTTACATCCATGAACATCCAAGAAACAATTGTCATACTACTGGACAAATCAAGTAGGCAGGACACCAACATCATCAATAAGGACACCATGATGAAACAACTAGACCTGTGCCTCACAACCCACTTCAGCTTCAACGATCGCATATACAAACAAATCAACAGAACACCAATGGGATGGCCAGTATCAGGACTGACTGCAGAAGCAGTAATGCAAAGGTTAGAATGACAGTGTTCCCAGTATACAACCCAACTTTGGGTCAGATATTTAGATGACACCTTCATGATTATCAAACACACAAAACTGGAAGAAACCCACCGACACATAAACAACATCCTCATCAGGATAAAATTCATAAAAGAAGAAGATAACAATGGACTACCCTTCCTGGACATAATGGTAGAATGCAAAAACAATGGGGAACTCCAAATTAGCATATATGGAAAGACCACACATACAGACCAGATACTCAATTATGCTAGCAACCACCCCAATGGAGCTACATCAGGACACTATAAACGAACCACAATACATTGCAGCAACCCAGAACTACGCAATGCAGAGCAGGAGCACCTATACAGAGTCTTCAAAAGGAATGGATACCCAAAAAGCTCCATCAGTCGTTACCTCTGAGACAGGAAGACACAACATGACCAGACTCACAAATCACCCTACTGTACAGCAAAGATATTTCAGAGATGACCACTAGACTACTCAGACCCCTAGGTATCAGGTTAGCCCATAAACCAACAACTACCCTATGACAGCTACTGACGAACATAAAGGATCCCATATCCAAAACCAGCAAAACAGGTGTAATATACAAAATTCCATGCAAGAACTGTGAGGAACACTACATAGGCCAAACCGGAAGAAAATTGACAACACGGCTATATGAATACCAACTAGCCACCAAGAGACTTGACCAAATCTCAGCAGGCCAGGCCGTATGAGAGGAGCAGGAAAGCTGACATTTCAGGTCGGGACCCTTCCTCAGGCATTTCTGAAGAAGGGTCCCGACCTGAAACCAGCCTTCCTGCTCCTCTGATGCTGCCTGGTCTGCTGTGTTTCTTCAGCTCCACACTGTTATCTCTTGACTCCAGCATCAGCAGTTCTTACTATCTCTGAACAATTCTCACTTGTGTCACTACACACAGACAACGAGGGACATGAATTCGACTAGGACAACACATCCATAATCGCACAAGCCAAACAGAGACACACCAGGGAATTTCTGGAGGCCTGGTATTCTAATCGGAACTCCATCAACATACACATTGAATTAGATCCTGTGTACAAACCATTGAGAAACAAAACTGGAAGTGGTATCAAACACTCCAACAAACTGAGGTGTATAAATAAAAAGCAGGACAGAACACCAACGCTTCACTGGAGGCACACTGACGATGTTACTTAGCAGGTTTACGAAACCTTTGTAACCAAACCCACCAGCTTGGCAAGCAAATCTATAACCTCATCCACAACCCGAGCTACAAATCTTCTCCAAAACTTCAAGTGTGATAGTGTCTTCCTGGCTGGAGATTGGAAACTATCCACGCTGTATCCGCTTGAGCAGCCAGTGACATAGTGGTAATGTCTCTGCACATTATCCAGAACCCCAGGATAATATTCTGAAAACATGGGCCTGAATCCCACCACAGCCGATGGTGAAACTTGAATTCAACAAAAATCTGGGATAAAATGAAAGACTAGTCTGATGGTGACCATACAACACTGTCAATTGTTCCAAAATTCTATCTGGTTCCTTTAAGGAAGGAAATCTTGCTACCTTTACCTGGCCTGGCCCAAATCTGACACAAGAGATATACCAATGTGGTTAACTCTTAACTACCCTCTGGCAATTAGTGATAGACACTAAATGTTGGCCCAGCCAGTGATGCCAAGATCCCACGAATGAATTAAAGAAAGGAACAGAGAAAGGAGACAAAGTTGGTAACAGATATTTAATTTCTCACACAATAGTGTTAGATGGTCCTGTGAGGGAAGGTGTCACATATGCAGCAACCCAAGGGTTAGAACTGAATTTTATCAGTCTAATATTTTGCTGGGTATCTATTCAGGTCAGTGACTTGGAATCCTCAGAGGTCTCCAATGCTAGCTCAGAATTCTAAATCTTTATTCAGGGTTCTGGAAATAGAATAATTGTCCACTGGAAGGTTAAAAATTCCAATCTAGTGATTAGATTAGGTGTTCTGAGGGTCCTCACCAGTATCGTGGGCTATGTCTGGCCTCCAACAATCCAGAGACTGGAAGATCTGGGCCATTGTTATTCATCACCTGTCTGTACTGCAGTGGTAAAATATCAAATCCGAGGAAATATATTCACATAACAATTAGTTTCCCTTTTACAAATAATTTGACAATATAACAGATCAAAGGCAGTTACCATTCTAATATTTAGCAGGAAAAAATTTCTATTTAGCCAAATACTGGATGTCAGGCAGGGGTATTATTCAAGATAATAAATAATTACTAGTCTGACAAGTTCTGCACCAGTAAATACTCTATATTTAATACCAATTAATCCATTGAACAGTTGCAATATTTTATTGGGGCATATACTGACTGTAGCTACTTATTGTTTTTCTCTTTTATTTAACCGACATTCTCAGCTTTGCACGATCTGCAATGTAACTACAAGGCTGTAAAGTTAACCTTCACAACACAGTATTAGGAAACAGTTTGTTTGTGGAGCTCCATCACAAATTGGAAACTGAAGCAGAGATTTGCATTCAAGACAAGTTTAAGGCTTTAAGCAAGAGATACAGGAGGAAAAATGAGCAAATGGTGATGAGCTGGAGCTCACTGCCTAGGATGCTGGTGGGAGCTGAAACAGTCACTGACTTTAAAAAGGAAATTGAATGAATACTTGAGGGAAATACAGTTGCAGGATCAGGGGGACTGAGCAGGGGAGTGGGACTGTCCAGACTGTAGCAGCAAGAGCTGGCATGTACCGGATGGGCTGAATGTTCTTCTGTGCCTATATGCATAGAGCTCTACTTTGGAATGAAAAGAGTACCAGTAGTACACCTGATGCTATCCTCCTGCATTTCTCTCTAGCACGCAAAAAAAAATTTGGAGTCAAACACAATGGTAGCAATTTTTGTCTCCCTCCTTGAAATCATCATTGCGTAACTGAATTTGTCCCTAAATTGTTTTAACAGCAGTGTTAAAGCACATCATTGAAACAATTGTCCAGCAGATCGTTCAATGGTCAGGAAAAACGTGGAAAGTTATTGAAGGGCGGCCGAAATGGAGGAGACTGTGTCTAAAGGTTCCAGTGGCACAATCGATCCGTGTGTGCACAATTCGTAAGTGCACATAATTTCGGTTATCAGTGGGGAAATGTGCATTTAAAGCCAGGCGTCACTGTTAGTGAACTCGTCACTGAAGGAGCTGGTGTGAGCGGGGAGATGACCTGGCAATGCCTTGTGTCTGGTCACCCTGGAGACAGCAGCAAAAAAAAAACTTACAAAAAGGTTGAGCATCGGGCCAGCCAAGCGCATTGGTGTCTCGCCAGCTAGGGACTGGAAGTAGGGCGGGTTGTTGTGTCAGAGACCGGTGGAGTAGGGAAAAGACAGAAGATGGTGACCAAACCTGTGGGCCACATGTCCAGGAAGGCGGGGACACCCCCACCTTCCACCAAAGCTCAGAAATCCACCTCTCGGTTGTCCCAGAGCGTCAAGTCCATGGACGTGAAAGGCGGCAAGGTGCTGAAGGAGATCCGGTCGGTGATGATCGACCTGGGCACAGGCTACTGCAAGGCGGGCTACGCCGGGCAGCCGAGACCCTCGGTGGTGCTGTCCTCGGTGGTGGGCCGTCCGGTGCAAATGAGCGCCAAGACCGGCGACAACCGTCAGGAGAACTTCGTGGGCGACGAGCTCTCCAAGTCGGAGCTGCAGCTCAAGCTGGTGAACCCGCTGCGGCACGGCATCGTGGTGGACTGGGAGGCGGTGGAGGCCATCTGGGCCCACATCTTCCAGCAGGCCATGAGGATCCTGCCCGAGGAGCACGCCGTGATGGTGGCGGACCCGCCGCTCAGCCCCAGCACCAACCGCGAGAAGATGGCGGAGCTGCTGTTCGAGACCTTCAGCACGCCAGCCATGCACATCGCCTACCAGTCCATCCTGTCGCTGTACTCGTATGGCCGTACCACAGGCCTCGTGGTGGAGTGCGGTCACGGGGTCACCCACGTGGTGCCGGTGCACGAGGGCTACAACATGCCTCACGTGACGGGCAGGGCCGACTACGGCGGCGCGGACCTGAACGACTACCTGCTACGGCTATTGAACGAGGCGGGAAACCGTTTCACCGAGAAGGGCCTACACATTGTCGAGGACATCAAGAAGAAATGCTGCTACACCGCCGTCAACTTCGAGCAGGACATGAACCTCGACGTTAACGAGTACCTGGTCGAGTACGAGCTGCCCGACGGTCACGTCATCGCCATCGGCAAGGAGAGGTTCCGTTGCCCCGAGGCCCTGTTCAACCCGTCGCTGATCGGCTCCAAGGAGCCCGGCATCCACTCGCTTGCCCTGCACAGCCTCGACATGTGCGACAGCAACCTCAAGTACGAGATGTACAGCAACATCCTGCTGTGCGGCGGCTCCACCCTCTTCGACGGCTTCTCCGACCGCCTGCAGAAAGAGATGAACAAGATGGAGCAGGGCATGAACCCCACCGTGCACGCCATCCCCGAGAGGAAGTATTCAGTCTGGCTGGGAGGTTCCATCATGGCCTCTCTGAAATCCTTCCAACAGCTCTGGGTTCGCAAGAGAGATTATGATGAACGGGGACCCTATGTCGTTTACCGCAAGTGCTTCTAAAACTGCTTCTCGCAGCCTTGGCTTCGTTTTTCTTTCGTTGCATATTTTTAATTCTTGGCTCGTTTCTGACTTTTTAAGTACATCTAATTTATCATGATTACTACCAAGCTGCAACATTACTGTCATAACTGTAATAAAGCATTTGCAAACGAACTGGTCAGTTTTATTTTGGTTCTGCAAGAGCAGCAGGGTCTGCAGTTAGGCACCGTCTGTGGACTCTTCCTGGGCGTTCCGATAGACTTTTCATCCAACCCAAGAACAGAGATCGGGCTTTCCGTCCTGGAGACTACTGTGGTACGGGAGCAAAGACGGTTTACTAAGTTGGATAGAGCCGAGTGAGATGCCACCTGACGAATTGTGTACATAAAACCCGAAAGAACTGTGGCTGCTGTAAATCCGGAACAAAACCAGAAGTTGCTGGAAAAGCTCAGCAGGTCTGGCAGCATCTTTTAAGGAAAAAAACAAGAGTTAACGTTTCGGGTCCGGTGACCCTTCCTCAGAACCTTTATGTCCTAGGTTAGAATCTGAGTCCCACCCAACCTTTTCTGTTCTGAGGAAGGGCCACCGGACCCGTGACTTATTGTTTACAGTTTGCCTCCTCATCTCAGGAAGCTTATAGTGGCGTAAAGGACAGCACCGGAGGTTTGCCAGATTAATCCCTGCGCTGGTGGGCTTGTATTGAGGAAACAGTGTTTATGTTATGGTGAGTTTAAGAATAAGACATAATTGCATGGAAACTAACAGAATTCTTACAGGCTTGACAGGGCGTATTTTTAGATTGAATGTTATCCATGGTTGGAGAAGTTGAGAACCAGGGAATATAGAATCCTGGTTTGGCCCAACAAGTCCGCACCTACTCTCAGAAAAGCATCCCACAAATCTTTTATCACAGACACTGAATAAAAACTTTTAAAAAAAAAAAATGCTGCTTTAAAAACTGTCAATATTTAAAACTGCTATACAATTATTCTTAATCTGTACTTTCAATATTTGGTTTCAGTTTACAATGATGTGCTTATAAAATTGTTTATTTATTAAAATTCCACCAGTAATTGTGAAGTTAGTTGCTCTGATGTAATTGCTATTTCATATCATGAATTAGTTTGGGTGGCAGATGTAATTTTCAGCTATTCACTGTCAAGAGTAGTGGGTTCCAATAGGCTTTTTCTTGATTAACACACTGGAATGTTTGTGCGCGCAAATCATAGAAAGTCAACATGCAGGCATTATTTCCATTAAGCTGTGCAGCCCATTGGAAGTTCCATTTATGCCAATTGGCAAATTGACACTGACTTCTGCTTCTGGAAGCTTTTGCTATGGACATAACGCAGAAGTCCATGCGTTGGGGGGG